TGTCATAATTCCACAATTATAATTTTTCACAGGGTGCTTTTGGGCTCTGGGAATGCTGAAACATAGCCATTATTTTTGGCTTTTTTTTTTTTTTTTTCAAATTTCATCTCTCTTTTCCATGAAGGCATGCCAGAATCTTCATATAGGTCACTTTAGATCGGTGGATTTACTTTCACTTTCACAGGTATAAAAGCATATTTTCTATCTGAGTTTTAAATAGTAAGGATAAAGTTCTAGGCCGACACTATTCACAGCGAACCACCCTCAAAATAGAAGTGAATGTGAAACCACAGATATTTCATTGAAACTTATCTGAAGATAAAAACATACCTCAAGCTTCACAGATATAAGACTTCTGAGCTGAGAGGTCAGTTTGTAGAAAACTAGGGTTATTCTAAAAAGGATTGATGACAAATTATTTTACTTGCTCCTATTTCAGGACCTCCCAGACATGCTGTCTACCCTAAGCACCAGGCTGGACACATTGGGAAACAGGCTGGCCACCTGGGCTCCCAGGCCTTCTACCCAGGACATCAGCATAGCTACCTAGTCCCACCTGCTGGCGCAGCTGGCATTCCTGTTCAAAATCAGCCAGGTAGACCTGCAGGGGCCCTATGGATGCCAGCACCACCACCACCATTAAACTGTCCACCAGGATTGGAATACTTAAGTCAGGTAATTTCAAATACGTAAAATACTCAGAAAAAATAAAACTGTGCTTCTGGTTTTTGAACCATAGTAATTTTGGTTGAGTGATATTTATTTATTTACTGCTTATTAATTAATTAATGTCAGAAATGGTAAACAACACATTCTGTTAACAAGTTACTGGTTCTTTTGGGTTCGATTCATTGTTAAATCAAAATATGAATGTCACAGGTGATTGTTTTCTAAGATTTTTTATATAATGTGATAATAGTCCAAAGTCAAAATTTATTAAGCACTATTTTCTAGGTTTTGTTTTTAAGCATTATACATGTATTACCTCACTTACTCTTTCCAGAATCTCTATGATGTGTAGGCGTTGTAATCATCATCACCCTACACAAGAGGAAACTGAGGTCCAGAGCAGTTACATAACTTACCCAGGATTAAAAACCTAATGAACTGGGGGTGCCCTGTTCATCACCAATCAGGGGCTGGTACCCTGATTCTGGATTCTGTGCTTTTTAATTCCAATACTGAATAATTTTCTTGACATTTAAAAGACATCTAAAATTTAGAGTTGAGTTTTAGTAAGTAGTACCAAAAATGACTTAATATTGTTGTGTGGGATTTGAGTCATCTTTTTCTTCCAATTAGTAAAATTACATTTTTATGATGCTTTTTTTCTTTGGAAGACCCAATTTTACAAATGTCACCAATAAGGAAAAAAAAGTCCTGGATTTTGCTGTACTACATGATAGCTTACCTCAGCAAACTAAGGTTTAATATTTGTTTTGTCTTAGAGAACGGATTGGTAAAATAGGAATATAAAGTTTTATATCTCCAATCTATAAACAAATATTTCTGTGATAGCCAATGAGTTTTCAGTAAATGAATTATCTTTCTTTTACTCTTTATAACTTAATTTCCCACAATATACTTGCACAGTGAATATTATAAGAATGTTTAGTAGTTCATATTTCTCTAAGAAATACCCGTTTTTTTAATGAGAGTCTCAAAAATATATAGAAGAAATTGTCACTTACTATAAAATGATTATATGAAGTAGACATAAAATGAGTAACTGAGACTTACAATAAAAACTTATTTAAATCGATAAAAAAGTCTTTATGTTTTAAACCCTCATTTAGGAAGAACATTGTTTTCTAACTTTACTAGGGATTCCACTATATTAGTTTATTTTACCTAAGTTTACAATATTAGTAGTGAATGCTTTCAATAAACATACAGCATTTTTAATTAAGAATATGTTAACTTTAGTTTTACAATAAAAGGTAACAAACTTATTAAGAGTTGATAATGATAAATGTCAATAACTGATTATATGCAGTATTAAACAATAAAAACATGAATAGTAATTGGTTCGCTATAAAATATTTAACATACAATTTAATTTTCTTTTTACTATAATAGATAGATATGATACTAATTCATCAGCAAATTGAACTTCTGGAAGGTATGTATTAATTGTATTGCTTATATATCTAAAAAGAGAAGTTTATGCAAATAAAGATACATCAAAAACTATAAATACAGCATTCCGAGGGATGTGGGATGGTAAACCTGATTATTTACAAATATCTGTCTTAACAATAATGAAATCAGTAGTCTATTTCTGAACATTAGAAGTGAAATGCTAAAATACAGTTGGCCCTTCCTATCCGTGGGTTCCACCTGTGTGAATTCAATCAACCATGGATCAAAACTATATTTTTAGAAATTGTACCTGTACTGAGCAAGTGCAGACTTCTTTTTCCTTGTCACTATTTCCTAAGCAGTACAATATAACAACTCTTTACCTAGCGTTTACCTTGTATTTGCGTATTATAAGTAATCTAGAGATGATTTAAATAATACAGGAGGAGGTTCATAAGTTATACAGAAACACCACGCCATTTTATATCAGGGACTTGAGCAGCCTAGGATTTTATTATTCACAGGAGGTCCTGGAACCAATCTCCCACGGATACTGTGGGATGGCTGCACTATTACAATAAGCATCTGTCCTAATGTTATAAACTCTAATGTAGAAGGAATACAGCCAAGACTTACTTTTGCTCTCTTGTCTCTCTCCAAATAACTAAAAGGGATTCAATCACTTTACCTGACTTCTACCACTTCAGCTCTTTTCTCTCCAATTTGTGATCACCTTGAGAATGGCACAGAGCCACATTCAATATTTTAGTTACTTTAGTACATTTCCAAGTGAGTAAACTTTTTGAATTTGGATGGCAGCGTTTTGGAAAATTGTTGTTCCTGCTCACAGTTTCTCTTGGGAGTTCAGATGAATCCAGTAGAATCTTTGTTCCATGCACTGTAGATTACTAGCCAGGGTACAGGGGCACTGCAGTGTTGGAGGATGCTGACCAGCAGGCCTCCAGCTTGTCTTCTTTGAAGAGCACTCCTGCTCCTGCTGAATATTCCTGATGCCACCAGATATTTTCTTGGGTCCAGTGCTTCCTAGGTGCAAGAATAAATTCAGTAAGCCTCTACATGCTTCAGAACGGCCGCTAGGGGAATGAGAGCCTAGGTAGAGTTATGAACCACAGTGTCTTCCCTCTGATATAATAAAGTTACTTCTTCTATGTATTATAAAAACTGCTGGTTTTTAGAAAATATCTGTTAAATAAATTCATTTTTGCATAGCTGCAGTTTCTTTAACTGGTTGAAATTATAACTTGAATTGTACAAGCAGAGTAATGAATTTCATTAACATATACAATTGTTACCTATTACATTTAAACTGCTTTTAAAGTACGTGATTAGATATTTATAATGTTCTTGGTTTTTTGTAGTTTTGCTAAATTAAGTTTGCTCTGGAAAGGAGCACTATGTTCTGTAATAGTTTGTATTCTGAATTATTTAAAATGTTTTATTTTATAGAATATATAATAGAGATTATAAAATCCAAAAGGCCAGACAGTATACATTATACATTATGTTTACAATTTTTAGATTTATAAGCTTTATATATATTTGCACAATGTATGTGCTTCATTGAAAAATACAAAGTTCCACATTTACCAGTTTTTAATTTTTTAAAAAGACATTTTTAATTTTCTTATTCCTCAAATTGAAAGTCTATATTGTTTGCTAACATCAAGGCATATAAAAAGATGATTATTCAGTTTATTTTTAGCACCTGAGACTATGACAAATACTTATACCTTACCATGACTGAAAAGTTAATAGATTCTAAAAATATAATTGCTGCAGTCTTTTGTTTTGTCTCCATTTTTCAAGTAACTTGAAGGAAACTTCAAGATTGTGTAACCCCATTGATCTCATTTTATAGATAAACGAGCTTAAGATTTTTGCAAGTAAGTTACGTAATTAAACGATTAGTTGGATAACAGATGCCCACACAGGAATTTTTTTTTTTAATTCGATTTAAAATTTTTTCACAAACTTTTGTCTATGGCAGATGTTGAGGTCAAGTGCAGTTCCTATATAGGCACAGTCCGGGACCTGTTTGAGTCCCACCATAGATTCTTAAGGAAGTTTATGGTAATAGGACTTGTGAGGAACAATTCTGTGTGATGTCCTTCTGTGGATAGTGGGACAATTCATTGCTCCTTCATGGCTTTAAACAAGGAGAGGTTTCCAATGTGTGGTTCAATATGGAAGTCCTTGGTAAGATACCATGTGAGCGTCAGCATTTTGCGTTCTTCTGTTTCCCCAAGACGTTAGCCTGTCTAAGGTACAGAGTTCACTTAGGATGCTCACGGTCTAGATATTCTGAGTTGAAGCCCTGATTGCCAAGCACCTTCCCCATTTGTTTAATATTCATCTCTTACTTTCAAATTACTGCAGAGCTAAATAAGGGTGCCCTGAACCCAACGTGATGTTCTAATTTGCCTTCCATTTTTGCCTCTCACTTTTTATGCATGTGCCTTGAGAATTAACCCTCTTATTGCCTTTCATCAAACAGTGCAAACAAACAAGACATAAGTGTGGCTTATAAAATGAAATCTTAAACCAATTGATTTAATATATTTTTTGCAATCATTCTATATTCCTCTCCATAATATACGATAACTATACCAAATAAATGGACGTTTTATCAGTACACCTAGCACCACTGTGCTTACCTGCAGCATTGCCCCAACCCTCAGCAGTGAAGTGTCTCTTCTCACAGGAGTCTATGGGATTAGAAAAATATGACTTGCTTTGTTTTCCATGTCTCACAGAAGGACTCAATTTCTCCATGCATTAATAGCCTAGCTTCCTCCTTTCCCTTTGCCTTTTTCCTCTGCCTGATCAACTCTAAATACCATTCCTTTTTATTCTTTCTATGATACTTGCAGCATCATCTAAAACTAGCTAGATATTATAATGTCTTAAGATAGGTTCAATAATTTTAACATAAAGGCAACTGATTTTATTTTCATTTTTAGTCCTATTCAGTTTTGAAAGTAGTAACGTGTATGAAATCAAGAACAGCTTTGGGCAGAGGATTTATTTTGCAGCAGAAGATACCAATTTCTGCACCCGAAATTGCTGTGGGCGGTCTAGACCTTTTACCTTGAGGATTACTGATAATGTGGGTCAAGAAGTCATAACTCTGGAAAGACCACTAAGATGTAACTGTTGTTGTTGCCCCTGCTGCCTTCAGGAGGTATGTGAGCAATTACTAGAGCTTTTCGTAAAGTAGTTCAGCAAGGATTTCCGCCCTTTCATTGAATCTGTGTAATCAAATGAGTTTTAAAGGAATATGGCTCCATGAGCTATATGTTTGGGCTTCTGAATCAATTGTATAAGAAGGGAAGGAAGGCAAGTAAACAACAGGGAATAGTTAGCCTCGTGTCGTGCAGCAGTCTGCCTCATGGGGTTGAGCAACTGCTCAGATATGAGAGTTCTTGATATTCAAGGGAAGGTTAGATAGGGCACCTTTTTCAAATCATTTTTTAGAGATGACTACAAGAGGCATGGTCGAAACCAGCGGAGTTGCACCATTGAAAATATCCTAAAATAGCATTCTAGGATCATGGGGACAAAAGAATGAAGGAAAGAACAGATGTGTTCATCTCATAATTTTGGCCAACCTACTAAGGGACAAACCTAGGACAAAGTCTTATCTCCTATGTTTTTCATTTCTCCTTTTCAAAATAAAAACCTATATATCTGTGTCATCTGCAAAAGGGATGTCCTAAATGGGAGTATCTTCAGCTCTGTAAAGACCAGATATCTCTGTTTCATATTGCATGGCAGCCTACTCCTAGAGAATACGGAGTGTCTTCCAGGGAAGACACTGGGGTTCAGAGATGTTTTAGGAAGGTTGGCCTTTTCCAGGATCCCACTGGCCCAACACCATATCTGCCTGGGTAACTTAGTCTTGCATACAGATTGCTGTGAGAACATCACACAGATAGAGATACAGGCATAGACTTATCTAAAGTCTAATACTGTACTTATTTTGAGAGGATAATTGAAGTTATTTGTAATGAATTGCTTTGTTTTCCATGCCATTTAGGTTAGGTATAATTATATATTTGTAAGAATATCTATCTGAGGAAAAACTGAGAATTTGATGGGAAATGCTCTATAATTTGAATAGCACATTAAAATATGTTACATTGTTTGATCTTTTTAAAAAAAAGTCCTAGGAAGTCCTCACTTACAATGTCTGGCACTTAGGAAATGCTCAGTAAATTAGAGCTATTATTAGATATTTTATTATGATGATTTATTACATTCACACATATTTTACTTTTGTAGATAGAAATCCAAGCTCCTCCTGGTGTACCAGTAGGTTATGTTACTCAGACCTGGCACCCATTTCTAACAAAGTTTACAATTAAAAATCAGAAAGGAGAGGATGTACTAAAAATTAGTGGTCCATGTATTGTGTGCAGCTGTTTTGCAGGTGTTGATTTTGAGGTAAGAGATGTCATAATGTTTATAGAATTTGATTGTTTAATATAAGAAGAATATAATTTTGCAGAATGTTATGAATGCCTTAAATTAGTATTGTGTACTGATGTCTCAGTAGCAAGATAATATTCCCATATATTTAACTGTGATCAGAGTGGAGGTTATTACTGACTAAAGGTCAGTATTGATAATGATAAATGGATGAAAAAAGAAGCAGAGCTCTGTAGTCAAATAAAAATAAGCAAATAATCTAACACTTAAACATGTTGGTTTCTGTGTGGTGACACTATATATTATCCATTATAAATAAAACTTTAACCTTGTCATCTAATTCTGATTGCCAAAGCATATGGATCCTTCCTTAATCTGAAATATAGGCTGCCAGTGCTCCAGGCCATGTCCAGAAGTTCTGACATCTTTGAGTTCCTACAGAAAGCCCAATCATGCAAAGATAGTTTTGAGAAAGTCAGTGTAATATGTATTACCCAATTATACTTCTCTGTGGTCTCTTCTCTAACCCTGTATTAAATTAGGTCATTGGAAACCACAATATGTCTCTATATTAAATTCCTGCAGAAATTTCATTACAGCAGTTCTCCAACAGACAGCCTAGCCTTATAATCAAATCATTTAGCTGCAAATATTTAACCATCAGAAGATTTTATAACTTAATCTTGATTTCCTGATTCTCTTGGAAAATCAGAAAATTTGGTCAACTAGGCCCACAATTCCACAGAATGAGGAATAAAAATCCTAAAGTTGAGTAGGGCTACCTCACTTATGATAAAATGTGGGAACTCTGACAGTGTCCCCACATCTTTCTAAGGTTTTGCACTATCCAGTTTCATTCTGTTGCATCCTTTCTACTCTAATAATATGATTTTTAATTTCTCTATTAGAATTTAGTTATATAAAAATGAATGCTTCCCCTTTTCAACTTCATAATCTGATGACAGAGATGGGAAATTCTAAGAAAACACATGTGTTGTAGAGACTTAAAATGCTCTTATAAAGGGATACATATATATGTATATAAAATGTATGATAATATGTGTATATAAAATGTATGATAATATGCATTGGATATATGCATATGTGTGTGGGTGTATATGGGTGTGTGGGTATGTGAGTGTGTAATATGTATGTACAGGAAACTTATGTAGGGATATGTATAATAATAGTTCTCTTTTCATGCCCATAAAAATCCAGACAAGTGAAAGATTATTTCTCCTTCTAGGAATGATATTAATAAAAGTCTAATAGGAATATAATTTATTCCTAAGAAATGAGTAAATCACTAACAAATTGTGAAACATTCTTAATACTAAAAATTTAGATTTCATTCAGTAGCTCTTCAATTCTCTATGTCTGCAGACACCAGATTCTAAGAGTAACTAAAAGTCATATGATTTGAGAATGCAGGAAAATAATGCATATAGTAAATTTTATAGCAATTTTGAGCTTGTAATTTAAAAATACCTTTTCAGTAATCTTTCATAAATTATATGTTTTGAATTATGTAGCTCCTCTAGTATCTTACACATTATTTTAATATATTATTTTGGTGTTTACCTAGGTTCTACGTGCTAGTGGCCTATTTGTATTTTTTGCATTTATAATTTACATTGCAAATAAATATTTAGTTTTTTTAGACTATCTTTACCAATTATTAGTATTAAATTTACAGACTTATAAATTTCATGCTAATATAATACACTACAATTCTTTTTTTTACTCATATTTCTGATACCAAATGTGTGGATATTTTTTCCCCGTGTCAACCAATTCTCTTTCTCTACAGATATCTACTGGGTTCCCTACAACTCAGGTCAATTCTGACACTCACTCACCTGGAGTTAATGCAGACACCACAGGTTAAGGTCTCAGTCCCACAAAACTGTTCCGTATTTCAAACTCCAACCACAAATGCAAGATCTCCTGTACGTCTAACCAACTGGCTATAAATCAGGGTTCTCACAACCTCCTCCATGGGTTTGACAATTTGTTAAAACTATATACAAAATGTAGGAACACATTTTATTTATGTTTGCTGATTTATTATAAAGGATACAGATGGATAGCCAGATGAAGAGGTTAATAGAATGAGTTCTGGAAGAGTCCTTAGCAAAGGGGGATCTGTCCCTGTGGAACTGGGGTAAGCCACTTTCATGGCACGTGAGTTCACCAATCCAGAAAGCCTCTGAACCTGTTGTTTAGAGTTCTTAGGAAGTTGCATTATGTAGGCATGACTGATTTAAACCATAGACTGTTGGTAAATAACGAACTCCAGCCTTACTCTCATCTCTGGATGTTGGGGACAGGACTGAATGGTTCAATCCTCTAAGCATTGCTTGGTTTTTCTGGTGTCCAGCCTAATACTGAAGCTGTCAGGAACCCCAACCAAAAACCACTAGTCATCTTAGTATACAAAAGACTTATTGTTTAGAAGATTCTAAGGATTTTGAAGCTGTGTGCCAGCAATCTGGGACAAAGACCAAATATTAAAGCAAGACTCTCCTATTACCCCTAGTAACTTAGAAAGTTAAGAGAGTTTTAGAAATTCTGTGTTAGGAAGCAGGGATAAAAACTCAATGTAGGCCGGGTGTGGTGGCTTATGTAATCCCAGCACTTTGGGAGGCCGAGGCGGGCGGATCACCTGAAGTCAGGAGTTCGAGACCAGCCTGGCCAATATGGTGAAACCCCGTCTCTACTAAAAATACAAAAATTAGCCGGGCATGGTGGCAGGCACCTGTAATCCCAACTACTTGGGAGGCTGAAGGCAAGAGAATCGCTTAAACCTGGGAGGCAGAGGGTGCAGTGAGTGGAGATAGTGCCATTGCACTCCAGCCTGGGGGACAAGAGCGAGACTTTGTCTAAAAAAATAAATAAAATAAAAACCAAAAATTAAAAAAAAAAAACAAAAACAAAACCAAAGAAGAAAAAATTAATGTATAGTTCTTATGATATTGTAAATACCAATGTATTATTTCCAGAGGTTGAAGTAATTTTACCTTATTTTCTGTTTTGTTTTTAAAATGTTATACAGAATTTAGCTAAAATTATCTAGACTTTATAACTTTTTTTCATAAAAATTATCTAGACTTTATAATGATCTGCATATGTAGGTCATTATTTATATTTCTGATCCTGTGTTCAAATTTGCAAATGACATTACTGACTTGGGTTGACATAACTCTTACATGTAGTTTGGTGAATGTTTGCTATATTCAGCCACTACCTGCCCATCTGGTGAGGTGTTTTTGTCTGAGCACACTCTTTTCAACTCTATATGATGACCCCCAGATTTCCTCAGCAGAATTTTTACAACCTTTATTTTTTTTCCACAAAAATAGAAAAGTTTTACATTGGAGATCTTTTCCACCTATTTTTTTTTTTTTGGTCTTCACACCCCACTAGTTATCTGGTCTTGCCCACACCCTTGACTTGAGGCATCCCATCAAGTTACTTATTGGTTGCTTCTTTGCTCAAACTGTCATTCTTCTTTTCTAGGCTCTTAGCATTTTATGTTTTCCTACTGACAGTGGGTGGTAGTGAGGCCTGTCTTCATATTTAAACGTTCAGCTGTGTAAACGCTCTGTGCGTCTCTAAAAAGCGGAAGTCTAATAGGAGTTTCATTTATTTCCTTCCTGATGGCTTCTAGAAATTATATCAAAGAAATACTTCAAATTTATATCCTTTTCTGCTTAAATTCTGTTTGGGGTCAATTCAAATAAATAAAACATATGTTAATGTCTATCTTAATATAAAATAGGAAATGTTAAAAATTTCAGTAAAACTACTTTTATGTAAGTTTTCTATAAAATAGAACAGTTTTTTTATGTATCTATAAATATACAGGAGTCTATATGCATCTAATGTAACATATTAACTGTATGCTCATAATTATACATGCTTTCTGTTACTCCAACTTTAAAAGTACTTTTGCTGTAAGTTTTCTATAAATTTTTAAGATTTTTTTTTTTTTTTTTTTTTTTTTTTTTTTTTTTTTTTTTTACAATTTAGATTACATCTCTTGATGAACAAATAGTGGTTGGCAGGATTTCTAAGCACTGGTCTGGGCTTTTAAGAGAGGCATTTACAGATGCTGACAACTTTGGAATCCAATTCCCTAGAGACCTTGATGTTAAAATGAAAGCCGTGATGATTGGTGCCTGTTTCCTCATTGTAAGTCTATTCCTGCTAATCTTGGTTACAGATGTCTTCTCTAGAATCATTCTGAAATAATTTAATAAATTATACATTTTAAGATAACCATTAAGAGTATAAAGTTTTTATAAAATGTTCTCATTTAATCCCAGCACTGAAGTTCTGTTTGATTCTGATTCTCTGGACTTATAGGCAGTTAGTTTATGTCTGAAGAGTCTACACACTTTCAAATGGCAAGAGAATAACTTTATATGCTAAGAAGAAGCTCTGGTTTGGGAGAGGGTTATTAAAAAATCAAATATATTATTAGGAGAAAAATCTGAAGCTAGTCTTACGTGGAATAAAACTCAGTGAAACACAGAAATTTCATCCTGACTCGTTAAATTAAAACATCTAACATGGGATTATAAAGTGCAATAAGAGTATACATTCAATCAAGCCTCTAAACCTAACTACCAGTTTACAGGAAATACATAGGGTAAAGCGGTGATTCAGAATGTATATTTACATTAGAATTATCTAGACACTTTTTGAAAGCCCTCACGTACCAGGCCATTCCCCACTTCAACTAAACAAGAAGCTCAGAGTCAGAAGTTTGTGTAGTGCCCCAGATGATACGAACATGCAGCCAAAGTTGAGTTTATGGAAACAGCGCAATGGTCCTCAACTTTAGCTGCAAAGTAGAAACACCTGGGTAACTTTCAAACTCCTCATGGCCATCCAAATTTACTAAACTAAAATCTCTGGAGTTAGGATGAAGACTTCAAGCTGTTTAAAGCTCCCAGGTGATTCCAATATTCAATCAAGGTTTGAAACGCCAGATAGATATCTTAAAAATTAATTTGGTGATATAATCAGAAAACCTTAACAGAGAACATACAGCAAAAAGGACCCAGCTCCTTCAACAAGTAAATGGCAATGAAAATAATGGGATAAAGTTAAACAGGGGAAGCTGATGAAGATGGCTGAATAGAAGGCTCTGAGAATTATCCCCATTGCAGGAACTCCAAATTGAACAACTGTCCACACAACAGAAAGCAATTTCATAAGAACTAAAAATCAGTCATTTGACTGATCATTGTACCTGGTTTAAAGATCACATTTTAAAAAGGCACTGAGGAGGGTAGGAAAGAGAGTCTTGAATTGCCTAAACCACTCCTCCCATATACCTGGCAGTGGCTATCTGGTGGAGAGACAGAATCCGTGTGTTTGGGGGAGGGAGAACACAGTGATTGTGGGACTTTGCATTGGAACTCTGTGCTTCCCTGTCATAGCAGAAAGTAACATGTGGCATAGCACTCACGGAGACAGCATATGAACCAGCCTTAGCCAGAGGGGCATTGCTCATCCCACCATTCAGAACCTGAGTTCTGACAAACCTTACTACCATGAGCTAAAGTGCTCTGGGCTTCTAAATAAACTTGAAAGACACTCTAAGCCACAAGGACCACAATACCAGGGCAAGTCCCGGTGCTGTGCTGTGCTGGGCATGGAGCCACTGGACTTACGGTGCCTATAACCTAGTGAGACACCAGCCAGGGCAGCACAAGGAGTGCTTGTATCACCCCTTCCCCAACTCCAGGCAGCACAGCTTGCAGTTCCAGTAGAGATTCCTTCCCTCTTCAGGAGGAGAGAGGAGGAGAGAATAAAGAGGTATTTTTCTTGCAACTTGGATACCACCCCTAGCACCCAGACAATGTTTCTAAACACACTGCAGGCCAGAAGAGAACCCACTGCCTTGAAGGGAAGGACCCAGTCCTGCTAGGATTTATTGCCTGCTGACTAAAGAGCCCTTGGGTCCTAATGTCTGTTCTGTTGGTAGCCAGGCAGTACTTGCTGTGGGCATTAGGGGAGACTCTAAGACATGCTTACTTCAGGTGTGGCCCAGCACATTCCCAGCTGTGGCAGATATGGGGAGATATGGGAAAGTACATATGGCTGCAGTAACCAAAAACAGATCAAAACACCCAAGTTCTTTTGAATACCTGGAAAGCCTTCCCAAGGACAGGTACAAACAAGCCCAGACTGCAAACACTGCAATCAACACCTAACTCTTCAATGCCCGAACCCTCCTACCTGAGGAAAGAAGAAAGAGGACAGAAGATTTTGTCTTGCAGCTTGTATACCAGCTTGGCCACAGTGGGAGAGAACACCAAGTGGGCTCTAGTGTCCATGATTCCAGGCCATGGCTCCTGGATGGCATTTATGGACTTGTGCTGGGCCAGAGGGGAGCCTGCTGCCATGAAGGGAGATATTCAGGACTGGCATAATTCACCACAAGGTGACTGAAGAGCCCTTGGGCCTTGAGTGAACATCAGTGGTAGCTAGGTAATACTTAACATCAATGGCAGCTAAACAGTATATATTATGGGCCTGGGGGGTGGTGGCCAAGGGGAAAGACACTTCTTCTTAAGGAAATGGAAGAAAAGCATGTGAAGATTTTTTCCCTGCAACTTGGGTTGTAGCTCAGCCACAGAATATAGCACCAAGTAGATTCCTAAGGTTCCTGACTCCAGACTCAGGCTCCTGTACAGTATCTCTGGACCTACCCAGGATCAGGAGGGAACCTGATGCCCTGAAAGAAAGGATACAAGCCTGACTGGATTTGACACTTGCCAATAGTAGAGCTCTTGGGACTTGAGTGAACATAGGTGGTAGCCAGGTAGCGGTCATTGCAGGACTTAGGCAAGACCCGGTGCTGTGCTGGCTTTGAGTTTGACCCAGTGCAGTTCCAGTGGTGGTGGTCACAGGGGTTTTTGTGTTACCCTTCTCTCAGATCTAGGCAGCTCAGCACAGAGATGCTCCTTGTTGGGGGAAAGTCAGGGAAGAGAACAAGAGTCTGCTGGTGTTGCAGGGAGTGTTTCTGGATTTTACCCAAGACTGCCAAGGGATTACCTCTGTGAGTCTCCAAGAGCCACAGCATTACTAGGTTTGGGGTATCCACAAAAGTACATATGGCTGCAGTAACCAAAACTTAGATCAAAACACCCAAGTTCTTTTGAATACCTGGAAAGCCTTCCCAAGAAGGACAGGTACAAACAAGCCCAGACTGCAAACACTGCAGTAAACACCTAACTCTTCAATGCCCAAACATGAATTAACATCCACAAACATCAAGACCATCTAGGAAAACATGGCCTTACCAAATGAACTAAATAAGGCACCAAGGACCAATCATGGAGAGACAGAGATATGTGAACTTATGGACAGAGAATTCAAAATAGTTGTTTTGAGAACACTCAACAAAATATAAGTTAACACAGAGGAGGAATTCAGAATCCTATCAGATAACTTTAACAAATAGATTGAAATAGCTAAAAAGAAACAAGCAGAAATTCTGGAGTTGAATAATGCAATTGATGTATTGAAGAATGTACCAGAGTCTCCAAACAGTAGAGCTGATGGAGCAGAATAAAGAATGAGTGGGCTTAAAGACAGGATATTTGAAAATACGTAGTCAGAGGAGACAAAAATTAAAAATAAAAAAACAATGAAGCTTGCCTGCAAGATCCAGAAAATCGTCTCAAAAGGGCAAATCTAAGAGTTACTTGTCGTAAAGAGAAGGTAGAGAAAGAGACAAGAGTAGAAAGTGTATTCAAGGGGATAACAGAGAACTTTTCAAACCTAGAGAAAGATATAAATATTCAAATACAAGAAGGTTATAGAACTCCAAGCATGTTTAACCCAAAGAAAACTACCTCAAGGCATTTTATATTCAAACTCCCAAATGTTAATGATAAAGAAAGGATCCTAAAAGCAGCAAGAGAAAAAAAATAAATAAATAACATAAAAGCAAGATCCGATACATGTGGCAGCAGACTTCTCAGGTCAGAAGAGAGTGGCTTGGCATATTTAAAGTGCTGAAGGAAAGAAATGTTTATCATAGAATAGTATATCCAACAAAATTGTCTTTCAAACATGAAGGAGAAATACAGACTTTTCCAGGTAAACAAAAGCTGAGTAATTTCATTAACACCAGACCTGTCCTACAATAAATGCTAAAAGGAGTTCTTCAATCTGAAAGCAGATGTTAACGAGTAACAAGAAATCATCTGAAGGTACAAAACTCACTGGTAATAAATAGTAAGTACACAGATAAACACAGAATATTATAACACTGTGATTGTAGTGTGCAAACTACTCATATGGTAAGTAGAAAGACTAGAATATAAACCTATTAAAAATAAAAATTGCAACAACTCTTTAAGACATAGACAGTATAATAACATATGAATAGAAACAACAACAAATTTAAAAATGGGACAATGAAATTAAAGTGTAGATTTTTTTTTTACTTTTCTCTTTGTTTGTTCATGCAATCAGTGTTAAGTTTCCATGAGTTTATAATAATGGGTTGTAAGATATTATGTGCCAGCCTCAGAGTAATCTTAAATCAAAAACATAGAAAAGATACATACAGAATCAAAAGCAAGAAATTAAAACAGGCCACCAGAGAAAATCCCTTTCTCTAAAAGGATGACAAGAAGGAAGGAAAGAAGGAAGAGAATATCACAAAAATAACCAGAAAACAAAATAACAAAATGATAGGAATAAGTCCTTACTTATCAATAATGGCATTGAATATAAATGGACTAAACTCTCCAATCAAAAGACATGGAATGATTGAATGGGAAAAAAAAAAACAAAACACAAAAAAAAAAAACAAGACCCAACCACTTGTTGCCCTCAAGAAACACACTTCACCTCTAAAGGCACACATAGACTGAAAATAAAAAAGATGGAAAAAAATTCCATGAAAATGAAGAGCAGGACTAGTTATACTTAGACAATATAGATTTCAAGTGAAAAACTGTAAAAAGAGGCAACAAAGGCATTATGTAATGATACAGGGGTCAATTTTGCAAGAAGATGTAACAATTGTAAATATATATGCACCCAATACTGGAGCACTCAGATGTAGAAAGCAAATATTATTAGAGGTAAAGGGAGAAATAGACCCCAATACAATAATAGCTGGAGACTTCAACACCCTACTTTCGGCACTGGACAGATCTTCCAGACAGAGAATCAACAAAAAAAAACATTAAATCGAATCTGCACTATAAACCAAATGGACCCAAAAGGTATTTTCAGAACAGTTAATACAATGCCTATAGAATACACATTTGTCTCCTTAGCATATGGCTCATTCTTGAGGATAAACTATATGTTAGGCCACAAAAAAAGTCTTAAAGATTCTTTAAAAAATGAAATTAAATTAAATATCTCCTCTGACCACAATGGAATAAAACTAGAAGTCAATAACAACAAGAACTTGTGGAAATTAACTTGTGGAAATTAAACAACAACAAAAAACATATGAAATTAAACAATATGCTCCTAAATTACCAGTGGGTAAATGAAGAAACCAAGAAGGAAATTAACAAGTTAATTGAAACAAATGATAATGGAAACAGAACATACCAAATGCTGTGGGATACGGCAAAAGCAGTACCAAGAAAAATGTTTATAGCAATAAGCTCCCATATCAAAAAAGTAGAAAAAAGTTCAAATAAATAACCTAACAATGAATCTTAAAGGGTTAGAAATGCAAGAGCAAATCAAACTCAAAATTAGTTGAAGAAAATAAATAATAAAGTTCAGAGCAAAAATAAATAAATAAAATTGAAATTTAAAAAGATCAACAAAGTAAAAATTGTTTTTTTGGAAAGATAAATAAAATCAACAAAGCTTTAGCCTGAGGAACTAAGAAATCAGAGAGAAGACCCAAATAAATAACATCAGAGATGAAAGAGGAGACACTTTAATTGATACTGCAGAAATGCAAAGAATCATTAAAGACTACTATCAACAACTGTATGCCAATAAGTTGGAAAATCTAAAAGAAATGGATAAATTTCTAGACATATATTATCTACCAAGATTGAACCATGAAAAAATGTAAAACCTGAACAGACAGTAAGTAATAAGATCAAAGCCATAATAAAAAGTCTCCCAGCAAAGAAAAACCCAAGACCCAATGGCTTCGGTGCTGAATTTTACCAAACATTTAAAGAATGAATACCAATCCTACTCAAGCTACTGAGAAATAGAGGGGGAAGGAATACATGCAAACTTATTCTATGAGGCCAGTATTATGCTGATACCAAAACCAAAGACATATTTTAAAAAGAAAACTACAGGTTAATATCCCTGATGAACATTGATCCAAAAATCCTTAACAACATACTAGCAAGTCAAAATCAACAATACATCAAAAAGATCATTTGCCATGATTGAGTGGGATTTATCCCAGATAAGCAAAAATGGTTCAACATACGTTTTGGATATAGCCACTTATCAAATATGTGGTTTGCATATATTTTCCCCCAATCCATTGGCTGTCTCCTTCCAATGTTTATTGCTTCCTTTGCTGCACAGAAGCTTGTTAATTTGAGGAAATTCCCTTTGTCTCTTTTTGTTTTTGCTGTCTGTGCTTTTTGGGTCATATCCAAGAAATCATTTCTCAAACCAATTTCATGGAGATTTCCGCCTATATTTTCTTCTAGTTGTTTTACAGTACAGGTTTTACATTTAAGTTTTTAATTCATTTTAATTTTACTTTCGTGTATGGTGTGAAATAAGGGTCGAAATCCATTCTTCTGTATGTATATTTAGTCTTCAAAACACCATTATTTAAGGGTACTGTCCTTTCCTCATTGTGTCATTGTGTGGTGGTGGTACCTTTGTCAAAAATCAGTTGATTATAAATGTTTGGGTTTATTTCTGTGCTTCCTTTCCTGTTTCATTGGTCAGTGTGTCTGTTTCTATGCCAGTATTGAGCTGTTTTGATAACTATATCTTTGTAATGTATTTTGAAATCAGGTAGTGTGATGCCTCCAGTTTTGTTTCTCTTGCTAAAGACTGCTTGGCGATTTGGGGTCTTTTGTGATTCCATACAAATTTTATGATTTTTTTCTACATCTGTGAAAAATTCATTGGTATTTTGAGAGAGATGACATTGAATCTGTAGTTCCCTTTCAGTAGTATGGATATCTTGGCAATATTAATTATTCCAATCCAAAAACACAGAATATCTTTCTATTTATTTGTGCCTTCTTCAGATTGTCTTATAGTTTTCAGTATATAGAATGTTTGCCTTTTTGGTTAACTGTATTCCTTAGTATTTAATACTTTCTGATGCTGTTGTAAGTGGAATTATTTTCTTAATTTGTTGTACATGGAATGAATTCAAATTACAAGAAGAGTTATATTACTAGAGAAGGACTGCAAAACATTAAATAAGAAAGATTTCAGGAGGATAAAAGTGACACTTACAGAAATTGACATAGGATTAATTAAATTAATGCAGGTGTCAATAAATACATAGGATTATAGGTTTTAATTTCTATTAAAATAGATAGCTGAAGGTAGAGATCTTATACCTGTAGACTTTTCTCCCATTACTTATTATAGTTAATTTTTCTTATTTAATGGACACTTAACTGTGTTTCATCAGATCCCTTAGCATTTCTGCATCTGATCTCTGGTTTCTGAGAACTCATTTCTGTATTTTTGTTTTTATCTAGGACTACATGTTTTTTGAAAGAACTAGGTAATGACTGGAATGTCAGAGTGTGGGAGTGGATTAATGTAAGTCTCCTCAGAAAATTTGAAGTCTGTATGTTGATTAGGGTTATCTAAAAGAAAAATTCAGTGTTTTTTCTTTTCTTTATTTAAATGACTTACACCTGTGTGAGTTAAGCTGTGATGCTTGTAGCTCTGAGTACATAATTTCACTTTTCAAATTCTAACATATATTTTATCAATGGGTTATAAATGTTTTATATATTTTATTAGATTATTCATTGTATATTTGGGGAAAAGAATATAGGAATTTTTAAATTTAGACACAAACCTCCTTTGAAAGACAACTTGAATTATAGTCTGAGTTTCCATTTTATAAGCAAAAATTAAAGGCTTATTAAAGGAGTTTTAATGTATCATTATATTTTACATTTTAAAGCTAGTTATAATTTATTTTATAGTAAAAATTAATATGCAAATACTGTATACTCAGAAAACAACTTAAAATTGACACAATTTCAGTCTCTTTTACCATGCTAAATATTTAATATGCATATTCTCAAGCAAAAGTAAATGTGAATTTTTTTTTTTTTTTTTTTTTTGAGATGGAGTCTAACTCTGTCACCCAGGCTGAAGTATTTTTTAATTGTCAGGAAAGCACACTATATTTAACTTCTCCTATCAGCTAACCTAGTACTATAAATAAGATTTTCATAATGATTACATGATAAATTAACAATTTTTTATGGTTTTCAGTAAATAAAGACAGACATGACTATGTGAGTCTATCCAAAAGATAGACTCATTCTAAAATTTGGTATTGTTATCACTTTTGAAGTTATTTATTATCACATGGCTCCTGTATTCTATCATTCCCAGAATATGTTAGTTACAAGATTAATCAGGTGTGAATGAAATAAAAAATATGTGTATCTTTACAAAGCATATTTCATCAGTGGTCTTAGGTTATTTGATGCCAAAAATCAAATTCCTAAAATAAAATTTATTGATACAATTTTTGCATATTTATTTTTGTTATTAAAAAAGCTGGATAATCCATCCAGGTGGCATTTTAGACCATACACACTTACCTCCTTTAAAATCACCTTTAAGGAGGAGGTTCCAAGATGACCAAACAGGAACAGCTCCAGCCTACAGCTCCCAGTGTAAGTGACCCAGAAGATGGGTGATTTCTGCATTTCCAACTGAGCAAACAGCACACCAGGAGATTATATCCCACACCTGCCTCAGAGGGTCCCACGCCCATGGAGCCTCACTCACTGCTAGCACAGCAGTCTGAGATCAAACTGCAAGGTGGCAGCAAGGCTAGGGGAGCAGCATCTGCCATTGCTGAGGCTTGAGTAGGTAAACAAAGCGGCCAAGAAGCTCAAACTGGGTGGAGCCCACTGCAGCTGAAGGAGGCCTGCCTGCCTCTGTAGACTCCACCTCTGGAGACAAGGCATAGCTGAACAAAAGGCAGCAGAAACTTTTGCAGGCTTAAATGCCCCTGTCTGACAGCTTTGAAGAGAGTAGTCATTCTCCCAGCACAGAGTTTGAGATCTAAAAATGGACAGACTGCCTCCTCAAGTGGGTCCCTGAACCCTGAGTAGCCTAACTGGGAGTCACCTCCCGTTAGGGGCCAATTGACACCTCATATGGCTGGGGGCCCCTCTGAGATGAAGCTTCCAGAGGAAGGATCAGGCGGCAACATTTGCGTTCTGCAATATTTGCTGTTCTGCAGCTTCCTCTGGTGATACCCAGGCAAACAGCATCTGGAGTGGACCTCAAGCAAACTCCCAACAGACCTGCAGCTGAGGGTCCTGGCTGTTAGAAGGAAAACTAACAAACAGAAAAGACATCCACATGAAAACCCGTCTGTACATCACCATCATCAAAGACCAAAGGTAGATAAAACAACAAAGATGGGGAGAAACCAGAGCAGAAAAGCTGAAAATTCTAGAAATCAGAGTACCTCTTCTCCTCCAAAGGAATGCAGCTCCTTGCCAGCAATGGAACAAAGCTGGATGGAGAATGACTTTGACAAGTTGAGAGAAGAAGGTCTCAGACGATCAGCAATAACAAACCTCTCCGAGATAAAGGAGGATGTTCAGACCCATTGCAAAAAAGCTAAAAATTTGAAAAAGATTAGATGAATGGCTAACTAGAATAAACAGCATAGAGAAGACCTTAAACTACCTAATGGGGCTGAAAACCGTGGCATGAGAACTACTTGATGCATGCACAAGCTTCAGTAGCCGATTCAATCAAGTGGAAGAAAGGGTATCAGTGATTGAAGATCAAATAGATCAATTAAATGAAATGATGTGAGAAGAAGAAGTTTAAGAGAAAAAGAGTAAAAAACAAAAACAAACAAACAAAAAACAAACAAAAAAAAGCGAACAAAGCCTACAAAGAAATATGGGCGCGCTTATGTGAACAGACACA